TCAGAAAATCGATCATAGGACATCGTATAAAAATCTACACAATACTACAAAATGTTTGTTTTGGTATACGTAATGCAAAAATGCATACAATTCCACAGATAACTACCAATTAAAAATTATCTCTCATTGTATTTTTTATTTTTCACATATATTTCAACATCTGTAAGTACATATGACTAGGCTTTATTTAAATGCGTTAGGGTCTTTGATTCAGAACTTTCCATCACTTAATATTAACATATGTGGCAAATCTTAGTGTTGCCGGTTTCAACAGTTCTAAGAATCAGCGCAAAGCTCCGAATTTGACTGATTTTTGTTGTTTGCAAACTTAAGCAATTTCTATAACGTTATCAATCATCAGGGAAGTTTTTTGGACTTGGTGTTATCTACTTCAAGTGTAATTATTCCCAAAGAAAATCTTCCCTTCGGCAAAGAGTGTCCAAGAGTGGCAACATCCTGCTGTTGTGATGTTAATCATGGTTATGATATGTTATATTCTAACATTCATTAAGTGTTTGATGAAAACATGTACGATTATGCTATAAATCGTAGGTTAACTCTGCACTAGCTCGGCAGTTCATGAAGGGTTAAGTTCAGCACAAGTTAAACCCTCTGAGGAATTAAGTCAGTCAAACAGGGCCAAACACTCATCTCATAGTTATTCTGGGCATCATATTCGTGGGCAATCTGAAGCAACCTGGAAAGGCAGTTATCAATATAGCTCGGACTATTCAAAGCTTCACCGCTCACTCTCCCCACAAAAGGTTGGGATACAACGCTGTTAGAAATTGCGAACCAGACAAGGATTTTATCCGCAAATTTCGTTCTATGCTTATATCATATATTGTCAGGGCATTCCTCTACATTGTCCATGTACATTCCATCGTTTTCCTTATTTTCAGTTGCACTTGAGTTTCTTTCGATATTTTAGACCATTCCTCCTCAATTCCACTGACATTGTACTCTTAGAAGATCTATATTTACGTGCCAGTCCCCTTGTTGACATTCCAACCTGATTTTTTGCCCTTCTCAACAATCTCTTTGACCTCTATGCAGTAAATGCAGGTGGTCTTCCACTTTTTGGGAGATTCAGTCCTCACCAACTTGTAGATGCTTTTCCTTATTTCTAATTTATACGACATCTTAAAGCGAAAACTTCGAAATAAATGAATGTCAACTGACAAACTTTTGATTCCAAAGGCTACTTGATATTATTTTGCGTTTGTTAAAATTAAAGCCACTAAATTTTGTGCCAGAATTATTAGAACATGCGTTATATTAACCTCTGTCAATCGTTTATTCTGCTTGAACGGCTTTTTCCATTCCCCAGAAACCGTCACCATTTTCTCAATTCTCTGGAACACTAGAAATGTACACGCTTTTTTATATGTTTTCGCAGAAAAATACGAATTTCACGTGAAATTTCAGTCTGGCTCCTAAAGCCTGATTGGCTTGTGATGTGAATACCCATCCTGACTACAGACTATGAGATTTTGGAAACAAATCATAAACTTGCTTCTTCTACGTAGTCGGAATTCGTTGAGCGAGATATCAGGTAACGAAATAAGTTCGTGCGGTTGCTGCATATCGCACATTGCCATGGATGTTGTTGATCGATAGCGATTCTTTATTACCTGTTTTCACTTTAGTATGAATTCTTCTTTTATGACACACATAAAAAGTAGCTGAAAATTGTTACATACCTAGTTTTAATAATTGAAAATCGCGACGAATAAAACAGTAATTCGAAGTTGTTTACTGTATGAGTACAAACTTGGTACAAAAGCTGTATCGGCGGCGCGAAAAAAATGTACCGCATTCGGAGATGATGCCGTTAGTGATCGAAAAGCACAGAAGTGGTTCAAAAAAATTTCTTCGGGAGATCTCAGTTTGAGCGATGAACCGCGCTCAGGTAGACCAAAAATCATGAACAACGAGGATCTTCGAGAGGTTGTGGACGCAAATTCCAGAACAACGTGCCAAGAACTTGCAGAAATGTTCAGAGTGAGTCCTGAAACTATTTGTTAGCATCTTCATCAGCTAGGGAAGACTGGAAGTTAAGCAAATGGGTCCCACATGAACTGACAAATGATAACAAATTAAGTCGTCTTACCATTTGCTCAGCAAACATTTCACGCAACGCTAATGAACCATTTCTTAATCGGTTATTAACGTGCGACGAAAAATGGATCTTGTATTCGAATTCTAAGCGTTCGTATCATTGGTTGTCGCCTACTGATTCGGTACCACACACGCCCAAGGCTTCCTCCTAGCACCCAAACAAGGTTTTGTTGTGTGTTTGGTCAAAAGCAACTGGAATTGTCCATTATGAGTTTTTGAGAAGGAATCAAACCATCACTGCTAACTTGTATTGTGAGCAGCTCCAATGACTACAAGCAGCACTTATCCAGAAACAGCCTTCTTCGATCAAACGGAAGAAAGTGATATTCTTGCAGGATAACGCCAAGCCTCATACCGCAAAAGTGACCCGAGAAAAAATTTCTAAACTCGGCTGGGAAACGTTACCGCACCCGCCATATCCCCCCGACATTTCGCCCAGTGATTATCACCTATTTTTGTCTCTTGACAACTGTATGAGGCACCGACAGTTCACAACTCGAGATAGTGTAATAAATGCAGTCCGCCAATTTTTTGATTCCAAATCCAGGGAGTTCTACCGGCATACAAAAATTGATTCCACGTTGGCAAAAGGTCATTGAATGTGACGGTAATTACTTCGACGAATAGTGTCTTATTGTTTCTCAATAAAATTTTATATTTTTCTACTAAAAACCGCACGAACTTATTTGGTTACCTGATAGTATCCAGAGAGGCGATGTGAGAATCTCTTTTGGCTATAAAAAAAACAACGTCAGATGGCGGACCCAAAACTGACATATTGATAAAAGCAGAGGTCTGGATAAGCTTCACATGTATGCTATTGCAATACAGCGTGTTTGTGTGGTGGGGTAAGGGGCGGGGGGTATTTAAATTCCGAGTCCTGTCAATGACCATCCTCATAGCATCGAAAACGTGTTGTTTAATAGAAATGAGTCGACGGAGGGGGTGTGGTTAACTGATACACACCCTCTCATCCCCCCCCCCCCACTTCAATCTCGTCATCTCTACACCTTAATCTGATGATATGACCATTCTTTGCCCTCTCAATCGTCGTGTGCGGGTGGGGTAAGGGGCGGGGGGTGTTTAAATTCCGACTCCTCTCAATGACAATCCTCTTAGCATCGAAAACGTGTTGTTTCCTTGTCCACATAGCCGTCGCGACAGGAAGCAAAATATTATCGGACTATCCCCCGTTCGCAAAACCTATTATCGGTTATTTCCCAGATCACCAACGTGTTCCGAAATGAATCAACGGACGATGTAATGCATTGTTGCCCTCTCAATCGCCGTGTGTGGTGCGGTATTTTTTGGAGACTACCTGAACTCTTGTATGCACCTGTGCAGTAACGTAATCTAACTCTGCTCAGGTAAATAGCTCGACGGAACCCATGGGGGTGCGGTGTGGTAAGGGACGGTGGGGTAAGGCGCGGGGGTGTTTAAATTCCGACTCCTCTCAATGACAATCCTCTTAGCATCGAAAACGTGTTGTTTCCTTGTCCACACAGCCGTCGCGACAGGAAGCAAAATATTATCGGACTATCGCCCGTTCGCAAAACCTATTATCGGTTCTTTCCCCGATCACCAACGTATTCTGAAATGAGTCAACGGACGATGTAATGCATTGTTGCCCTCTCAATCGCCGTGTGTGGTGCGGTATTTTTTGGAGACTACCTGAACTCTTGTATGCGCCTGTGCAGTAACGTAATCGAACTCTGCTCAGGTAAATAGCTCGATGGAACCCATAGTGGGGTAAGGGGCGGTGGGGTAAGGCGCGGGGTGTTTAAATTCGAAAACGTGTTGTTCGATAAATTTGTATCGTATAAATAGCTCGATGGAAGGCATTGTTACCCTCTCAATGACCCTGCAAATTGTAAAACCACACATCAGTTCGGTCCCCTATCAAGAACTGTAAAACATTTTCGCGCTTCTGTCCCCAGATCATAAACTCGTTTATGATAGAAAAAGAGTCGTCGATGAAAGGTGTTGTTAAGGCATTGTTGTCCTCACAATGGCCATGCCGATTGTAAAGCCTCTCAGCTCAGTTCGGTGCACTATAATAGAAATGTTGCCTGTATCTTTTTAGTGGGCTAGCCGAAAATTATCAGTGGGTTGTTCAAATGCCTTGTATGCGCTGGTGCTGTAAGGTAATCTAACTCTGCTAGTTATTATATAAATGGTGAAACAACAACAGCTTTGATCATTCAAATTCAGTCATTTAACATCGAGAAGTGGCTAAATAATATTCTTGAAGTACCTAACAGATAGAATTAGGAGAGCAACCTTTTATATTATTTATCTAACACTATATTTATTTTTTTTTAATAATGTCTATCACTACCTCAGCCTTGCATGAAATAAACAATAAAATAAAATGCGAATCTGGCATCAATATACCATCTAGAACATTATCATCATTAACTGTAAACAAATCTGATCCTATTAAGAATATTTCAAGAATTCAATCAATGTTTGGGCAACACCTAGTAGCATCCCTTCTTGATTTTGATTCTGACCAGCTTAATGTTTGGCTACCCAAAGGAGTGTTGGAAAACATGCCCGAAATTATGATTAAAGATATAAATGAGTCCCAAAACAAATATTCTTTAGCGTATATTGGCCAAAGCTCACCAAAGACACCAGGTAGTCGTTCAAAATGTTTGATAAAATTTGACTTTGTTGACAGTAGTAATTAGTTTAAAAGTACGAGGTAGTATAGGCTAATAAGTTGGGTATAAATAATATAAAGGTTCAGATCAGAACTAGGTTAGAAAAATGCAGCATGTAAAGTTGTTTTGACAAATATCATGTTCCACTTGATATTGACCATTATACGAGTATTTATCTTTCCAGAAGTAGTACACCCCCTCTGGTTTAGCAAGATGTGGAGGCATTATGCATCATTGCGTTGGCCTGATTCAAAGGATCTACGTGCAGGTATCATGAGATTAGTGTGCCAGTTAACGGATTTGATGCATGACGCTGAACATTCAACAAACTACGATATGAATGTTTGTTGGGATGATAACGAGGTTGAAAGGATCAGGAGACCAATTCGGAAATACGAGGAAGGGCAGAAATTATGCACGCAGTATCTACAAGAAGCAGTATTGAGCAGTTTTGTAGTGATATGATTAATTATAACCTTAGATAATTTCTGTGTGAGATTGCAAGGTATTTACCTCCGGAAATTATCATCAAATATAACCTCGTGTATGAGGATTGAACACTATCTATTTAGTTTACTATAGGATTGTACAATGCATTATTATTAAATAAATACCTGACATATTGAGTTGTTGTTATTTCATTGAAGAACATAAACGCATGATAAATACATCAATACATTATTTTGTAATGCCTTAAAATTTTTCCATCAACTGAGTGAAGGCGATCAAAGAAATGTTAAGTTTCCGACAGATGTCTGCAGCCTTCTGGCAATTTTCAAATTTCACATTAAAGATAACGATAGCTGAAGATACACAACGTACAAATTGTATACACTAACAATGATAGCTGCCATAAATTCGAATTGAGAATTGCCAACCACCTGAATGGGGTGAGGCTTGCCCAATACAATGCCTGTGATAGAAAGTCACTCCTCTGTGATATAATTATATATATATATATATATATATATATATATATATATATAGCATGACAGGGTAAGCTCGATTGTGCGTTCAGGAATTCTTCTCATAATATGCGTCCGATTATTCGACAACATCCACACAAGACAAAATAGAAATGGCTGCTGGTGAGAGAAGGGACATTTTTTTAATTACGGTACACTATTTCCAGAAAACTATCTATAAAGAGTGTTAAGTAATTAGATGTATGCATCTGCTCCTATATATGGCAGGTGTTACCCCAAGCTGTCATGCTATATATTATAAGGGTTTAAATAAAGGCACTGTATAGTGTTTTGGGAGAACTTTCAAAAAGGAATGTTTGGCATTTCTGCCAAAAATCTATGCAACTTCACCCGTGCTAGTAGCGAAGGTCTCACCGTTAGGATTTGAGAGTTCATTTATGGTGTATCTAGGTTAGAAATATACTTCTTGCAGGTAGCACCCTCAGCTGTCATCCCATGTATTATATTATGGGATTTAATTGACACATGGTACGATCGAAGGTCTTACGGATAGAAATGATTTATTTAGTTTTTTTTGTATACTTATGTATATTTGATTATTAGACCTAGTTTTTATGTATTGATTGTTATATTTATTATTTTTGTTTAATATATAATATATATTTGTAATTTTTTTCCACACATATTTTCAAATTTAAAAGATCAAGGTCTTATCAGTACAAATGACTTACAATCAGTTAGAATATATATTCAAGGAAAGTATGGGAAGCAAATGGTCAATAAACATTGATAGGTCTGCCGGATTTGGAAAAACAGTCCTGGAGAAAATACTTATTAATTAAAGGAATAATAAGTATTTCGAAAATTACAAACACACCTCTATTTGACTACACCTAATCTATTATTTTTGAGAATAATGATGCACGTATTATACATGTCGGAAAAAAAATAAATTAAAAATTAATTTTAAGGTTTATTACATTATACATATATATGTACATTTTCAAAAATCAAATAAAAGTAAAAGTGCTTCTTTTTCTTCTAAAAGCTTGCCCCTCTTCCGTTGTGCTATTTCTTCCAAGTTGTCAACCCTTTTCATCGCATCGTCCATTTGCCGTTTCCTCCTATTTTTCTGTGCACGTTCGCGCTCGTCTAACTGTTTTAGAAGTTCCTTGTATTGATAAAGAAGTTCTGGCAGTGTTTGACTCTTATCCATTTCCAGTGCCAATTGTCGCTCTGTATTTTGGATGTCTGATTTCATTAGCATTATACTTTCTTTGAAAACATTTATACCAGTTTGACTGTTCGGCTGCTTGGTGGTGGTTTCCTTTCTTCTTTCAATTACGTGCTTCATCTGGTTTAAAGATTTTGAAGGCGACATGTGAGCCTTGACTGCTCGAAGTGGCGTTGTTGTAGGATTATCCGTTGTATTTTCTAACACGGCAGCTTCAGCAGGTCTAATTTGAATGAACTCCTGGAGTTCTATGTCAGTTGTCATCTGAGTTGAATTCCGTCACCTTCCAGGTCAGCTATAATTGTATCCAAATCATTATGGAGGACTGCAATGTCATCTAGATTATTCGCGGTTGCTTGCATAATGATATTGATTATGGGGATAAAATATGCTGGTACTAACAGACTCAACTAGTGTAACGTAGTAGGCGCGACTGAATTTATGTGGAATCCTGACACACACACACGCACGCACGCACGCACGCATACGCACACACACACGCACACAAACAAAAGAACGATCAATCGGTAGGATAGAGGCGTTTTATCATTAGTAAATATACGGCGAGGCCTAACCTCTTGTATGCATGCTAACCAATAAGGATACCTAAAGGCAGGTAGGTTCAACGTTTTTATATTGCCCTTGTGGACGGGTAAACAGGTCTCTGAATCTGGAACCAAAGATAACAGTGGTGGGAGAGTGAAGTGGGTAGGTTCAGGGGTTTTGAATGAATGTAAAAATCAATGTGTCTAGGTTAGTTTATTCAAACAAGATTTAAAGAATTTGTATTTTTTGTATTGATACAACCATTTCGAACATATAACGACTACGTAAATATAACACAAAACATAAAACTGAAAGTCCAAAAAATATTACAATATATCATGGATATTTATCTAAGAGTTTTTATAATGTGGAAAACCCAACCATTTAACTAAAAGCTTGTTGCCCTTCCTCCTAATCACCTTTTCAATCAAGTACTCATTTAGAAATTTTGTTTTTCTTAGTTCCTTCTCGTAGAAACAGCCTTTTATTGGACAACCTTCCACGTCTTCTAACATATGTATATGTAACTGGATTTGACATGTTGACTTTGTATATTTTAAATAACTCCGTTGAATAGTTCGATGTATACCCTTTTTCAAAAAGACTTTTGTATTTGCTTACTCTGACGATATCGCCAGGTTTAAGCTTCCCTTTTCCAGCTACTTTTGGATGATTGTACACATTCAATCGTATATGGAAGTCGACTCCGATGGGGCTTACACCTGCCGTTCGATGTTTCCTGTTGTTATAAAAATCAGTAACATCTGCTAAGATATTGATGCACCGGTAGCTCCTCCTGACTGAAAATTCCGGTGTTTTAGTGATCGGATAGCTTTCTCAACTATTGCTGCTTTTTTTGTACTATATGTGGAATAATGATCCCATACTTTTGCATCAGAGCGGAAAATTTTCTGTTGTATAACTCCGATCCATTATCCGTTTGTAGGTTCTTCGGGTGGTGGGTAGCCGTTTGTAAAATATCATCCATTGCAATAGTTACGGTTACCATATCATTCCTTTTAATTGGTCTGCACCACATAAACTTAGAATAGCAAATGATAACTACTAATATGTATCTATATCCATCATTCTCTTCACTGAAAGATTGCATTTCAGTCAAATCAGCTTGCCACAAGTCAGCGAAACCCTTTATGATAGTTCTTCGGCGGGGGAAATTCCTTCGAGCCGCCATATGTAGCTCCTTGGCTATACCACGTTTTGTTTCGCTTACGGTCGACATATTCACTACTATGAATACCCTGATGGAATGAGCTTGTATTTGCAGGTATCTAGTTTATTTAGATCGAAGTGATAGGTTTAAAATCGTACTCAACTCGTTAAACTTTTTGTCAAAGTCACGTTTACTTTCCAGCCCTTATCGTTGCAGTATGTCACTGAATCACTTAATACATTGGATACTGCTAGTCGCATCAATTTACCCATTTCGGTTACAAATTTATTCATGGCTTCTTCAATATACTTTACAGTCACAGCATCGTTTTTGTCCACAGGATCACCAACATTCTTTATCAGTTTTTTCTATTATCATAGTCCCCATTAGTAGTTAGTTTGAACCTAATATCAGGTATACCACGTACGGGATACAATTTTGACCCGCAGCGATGTCCAAATCTGCCAACGGCACCATACTTCACACCATGCTGCATTGAAAGCATATTTGTAAGTGATGTGATATAATCTAGGTTGACAAATAAAAATATATGCGAATCAACGTATAACACCCTCTTCATGCAATTCTTCTATTATTGATATTGTTTCATTATCGTGGTTTGTATGACCAGCCATTTTTGAGCTATATAGCAGCATCAGTCTAACAATTAACTCATTAATATTATTCCAATATACATATTCATATTGCTTATCGTTATATATTTTATATTTGGGTGCTTTCAAAAATATACACCTACCCACTGATGATCCAAGACGCCTGGGCGATGTTGTTGATATAATATTCAGTAATTTAGCGAAATATTCAGTTCCATCGTTTCTGAAGTCATATGTAGAACAATATGCTTTATGAAGTACATTAGTTTTAATCATTATATTTTTGAATGTGTTCAAGTTTTGGGAGTCTAAATTCTTTGTATCAGGCAGTTTGTCCAAAAATATCAAATCGAGTAATTCGGGAGACATTTTAAATGTGATTCTCTCCTGCTTCTTCTCAGAATAGCAGGTAACGTCCACCAATATCAAAGCTCACTTGGTGTTTGCCTAATAATAACTTGTCCGACTGTGGATTTATTCTCACATTGTATACGTCAGGTCCCACAACTTGTAGTCTAAAGGATTGAGGTCCGGACTCCCTGAGGGCCAATCTTCCGCAGCAATGAACTCTGGCACATTGCTTTCCAGCCAGCGCTGCGTACTCTTAGCCTTGTGAGCGGGGGCGGAATCCTGCTGGTAGACCCAGTGTTGGTTGGCAAACAATGTACCACTTAAAGGCTTGACGATAGGATCCAGTATGTCGCTCTGATAGTTTACCGCTTTTGTTTTCACGCCCTGTTTACAGAAATGGAGCTGAGTGACCTCTTCGTAGGACACCCCCCACCAAACCATGACTGACGCAGGGTGGTGGCCTCTCTCAACTCTCGGAATGATCCCCGAAGCTTCCTGTGAACTCCTTGCATACACTTTGTCATTTTGTCGGTTGAATTTTTCTTCTATGGTGAAGATTTTCTCATCCGTGAACAAAATCTTTCGGAATCCCCCAGCTGCGTACCTCTCCAAGAGCTTCTTGG